GGGAATAAAATCTGGAAATTATACAGAACGGAATGGAGCCGGAATGGATTTTGCATCAGTTCAATACAGTGCAAATGAAGGTTTTGAGGTTCCAAACTTTTGTAGCGCACAGGACTTTTTGTCAAGTGTTGTACTTGTTTTAGCATTCCCCGACTGAGCTCATCTTGTGGTCATATATTATTCAGCATCTGATCTTGCATACCATTGTATGAATCACAGATTCATGTGATCCTCCATCCGCGCCATTTTGCGTGCGCGCGCTTGCGAGCGTGTCCGTGCATTCATGAGATGTTCCATAGGCATGCCATTTCCCCCCCCCCGCCATTTAATATGCAACACACAATCTATTTACCATCTCTGGTCTCTGGAAAGGATACGAGGTGCCCGTAATAATATCGGATTCGGTTGTGTACCTCTTCCCTTTAAATACATCGAACTGCTCCAGGCACCCTCAGCTTTTTAAGCAAAGGTCAGAGGAAGGCTCATTGATTTAGCATTTTAATTTTATTTGTGCTGGGCTCCGAGGGGGACTGGCATTCAGCGTGGCAGTGGCTCTTTGTTTTGTAAGAGGCTGTGAATGTCTGTGTGTCTGTTGAGACCCAGCCTGCTTCGCTCTGGCTAATAAGTGTGAGATGGCAGCCAGACGCCTCCGTAATAGCCACTAACACTTATTATCCTCCCCGAGATTGGAAATCCATGTGTTGTCATTGAGGGATCTCAAGACAAGTTAAGCGAAAAAAAAAAAAAAAAGTTTTTTTTTTTCTCAAGCGTACCGCTTCAAAACAGATGTGCGTGTCGTGTTGTAGGATCGCTGCGTTGGTGTAGGTGGGCTGTAAGGCAGAAGTGGTTTCCAATGTAAGGAAATGGCCTGTTCAGAGTGGTTAAGTCACTAACTGAGCGAGATAATGCCTCAGGGTGTCTGAGGCGGAAAAATGCGACGTCTCCTCCGCCAGAGCCGAGGCAGCTGTTGTTTTGCATTGTTCCCGTCCTCTCCTTCGCTTGACTTTGCAGGGGATGTGGAGAAGGGCCCACGATATTGGCACTCTTTCATTAAGAGATCCTGTTAGCAGCGCTGGTCTTGTCATTAGGAGCACTGAAGGTTTTTGATTTGCTGCCATTTCCAATGCCCGGTCGAGAGCTCACCCTGCCGATAGCGCCCTGAACTCTGACAAAGACAGCCTGAGGGATCGTTACCTGATCTTTCCTGCTATACTTGGTGCATTTAGAGATTGTGTTTGGCAGTGTTGGTTCTTTGCTGATCTGAAAACTCTGAAAAGTCACAAAGTTTCACAAAAATTAGTTCATTAAGCCCTCGTCTAGTGATCCCAATGCTCCAAATCGTAATTAAATATCTAAAACGATCTTTATTTGTATGTTTGTTTGAGAGGTGTACCTTCCCAAATCTTTCCTTTGTTTTAATAATCCATGAAAAATTGCCTCTTTTTGCTAGCCTCTTAGCACAAGTTTGGTATCATTGTAAAGCTTCAACTTTGTGAATATTCATAGCGAATTCTTGATGGCATGAGTCTGAACCAATGAAATGTGATTTTCTGCTGATGTAAACAAAATGATCTTTCTCGCGCAGACTGCCAGAGCCGAAGCGTGTGCACAAAGACCGATATACACACATATACACAGAATTACAGTATTTCAAAATATCTATCTTGGGGAGTATTCACTCAAACAATATCTGTTATGTCTTAAGTGAACGTTTGGTTAATTGTTGGGGAAAAAACATCTGATGTGTAACATTATATTAGATCCATGCATTACAGGTCTTAATATTGGCTGTCTGTCTCGTTAATGTAAATCAAACAATTGTGGCATCATGGAAAAAACTGCTGAATATATATTTTTTCTATAGGTATGGGTTTTGACTTGATTTGTGCCAAATTTGGTGTTATTACTCCCAGGGATTTTCAGGTATGGATACTTGGTGATTTTGTTTTGAAACCCTCAGAAAACTTTTAACTCGACTTTTCTCAAAATTGACTTCAAACAGATGTAGCTCAGTCATTTTTTGTCTGATAACTCATTTTTGTAAAAAGAATTTGCTCATTGTAACTCATTTTGCCAGCACGGGTCACATATTGAGAAGATCATAGATGGTTCTAACTCTTTCATCTGTTTTATTTTATTTTATTTATAACCCTATAGAAAACAATGGACATCAGCACATTTATGTAATGTAATTTGTGATATCATTTTAAATATATAATATGAATTTTAATATATTCAAATTCCAATGAACCCCATTTAATTTCAGTTAAAATAATTAAGAAATGGGAATTTTCTTAAAAACAGGAACCTTAACCTTAACCTCCATAACCTTTGTGGGTCCAGTAGAAATAAATGGTGAACGTAGTGTTACAACTGCAGACATTCTACAGACATTATATACCAAATTATAAAAAAACAGAAACCTGCTTATTCAGATGGAACCAGTCCTGTCATTTAACATTAACCTGATATTATAACTAGATTTTTCATGTAAGTTCCTTTTAAATATATCTCTAGTCTCACCTCTACGTATTTGTACACTTTTGGGCAGTGTGAATTATGGGATTGATAGTAGATCTGTCAATTGGCAAGGGAATGTCAGTTTCAGATGCTTCCTGCTGGGGTGCGGGTACTGTAACCCCCGCCCCCTCCCCTCCGCAGCCGACGGCCTCCCCGAACCACCCAATGCGTGCCAGCTCCCTCCCGGCTGCTGAGAAATTGCTCCTGACAGCTGATTTGTTGGTTGTCAGAACTGGTCGCTGTGCGGCTGATAAGGGCGCAGAGGCCCGAGATGGAAAACTAACTGCCTCTCATGATTTCAAAGGCAGCCCCATCAGCCTGGGGCCTGCAGACACATGTAAATGTCTCTGGGCTGAAATCACCAGGGATGTTTCTTCCATGTGCATTGGTGCTCTTTAAAGAGTTAGTCTGTGCTTTGCATGCAGCGTCTGGCCACGAAAGAAAGCACTGCAAATGTCACCTCCATCTATCTATCTGTCTATCTATCTATCTATCTTCGTTCTTTCGTTCATCTACCGTATCTGTTTTTCTATATTATGCAGTTCTGTGTCGTGTTTGTTAACAATTTAAATTACTTTATGAATGTTGCACAAACAGTGACATCTTTTTTGATTGGCTGACGTTGTGGCCCTGCCTGGCAGTATTTATTGACATGAATTAAGTCAAATTAGGTAAAGAAAAAAGGAACTTTTTTACACTACAACCACCACCTACATTTATTCACCCCCCTAGATCCTTGCTAGGAAAGGTAGAGCCAACTAGACCGGGCAATGGAGCAATGGGAGGACCTGGTCCAGCCTGCATCGAATCATCAGGTCTGATCAGTCACATGAAGCTCTAATAGGCTTGTACAGGAAGCCATTGCGAGAGAAGAGGTCACTGGGTAATTGGCTGTGAATCTTGTTCCAGCATCCTCCCATGGGGCGGCTGCTTCTATAACTCACTTCCTGTCAATGATGTCAACCCTCGAGGCCGCCTAAGCCCGGGCTGAAGGGTCGATGAGGGGGTACTGGCCGTCATCCAACTTTGAAGAATATGACAATGCGGCAATGACCGTAGCTCACCCCTACAGCCTGTACATACAATAATTGCCCTTAATTACCTCATGCCCCAATACAAAGCCCTCATGCGGCTGTAGTGTAGCTAATACTCCATCAGTCAGCACAGCTACGGCGTTCTGTCGATTTTAAACAGCACGCAATCCACCTCTGTGCTTACCCCAGCAGGGCGAGGAGTGGATTCTACTGTCATGGAGTCAGGGAACAGATAATTCAGCTGGTGTTTTCTTCCCCAAACAAAACAAACTGTACGTATAATAACTAAGAGGTCACGCGGCGCTGGACCAGAGGTCACCGGCTTGTTTATCCCATGCCCTCTTATCATCCCTCCCGCCTCTTCATCTGCTCTTATCACGGCCGGTGTTGAGAGGGGCTCCACGGCTTCCTGTTTTGGGTTTGCTGTCAACCCCTTTGACCTGTTGACCCCGGGACTTATCTCTCACTTTCTTAAAAGCCAAACGCCTCGTCTAAAAGCAGCAGGGCAAGTGCTCTATCTTGGCTCTTCTTGATGCTGTTACTTGAAGGCTTGTAGAGCGCAGCACACTTAAGTGTGTTTGTGTGAAGAGGCATAGCCCCCACAACTGCAAAATATTTGTCGTAATTATTATGACATTTACGATATTTTTTTCTATAGATGTTCTTTTCTCCCTAATAACCTTTTTCTTTTTTTTTTTGGTTATGAAAAAAGAAGGTCTCTGCCATCTGGTTGCAATTGTTATATCCCAAGCTATTCAAAATTACATAAAGAATGTGATTTATACATAGAAAGACTTTCATACACATTTTGAGCATCTGTTAATTTCTGTATTAAATGTCGATCAGGTCGAGTTTGAGACTCTATCTCAATGGGTTTGAGCATTTTTTGTTGTTGTTGTTGTTGGTGTTAATCACAGGATGTTCCCCGTTCCTTATGGATTGTGTGGCTCTGTTGTGCTTTGTGAGGTGAAAATGGATCCTCAGTAGAGGCACTCACTTAGGAATGAGGAAAAATAGTGTGTCACGTATTGAAAAACTCGCAAAGAAACATCAAATATTTGGTAATGGAATTCACATGCCGGCTGGCTCTACAAATCCCATTAAAACAGCTTTGAGCTTCCTCCATCTCCGAGGAGCAGACTCAGAGCTATTTTAATAGTGCCCAGGACTTCATCATTTTAACAGCAAAAGAGTTCCTGCTCTGTACTAGATACATAATTTGCATGGCATTAGGACCAGATAAAACGAAGATTGCTGCACGATTCAATGGCTCATTTATGCCTGCTCCATACGATAATAGCAATCAACAGATATTTGTTGCTTTTTTCCTGTTCATTTAACTGCTTCTGTGTTGGTTCACTTCAATCATGATCTGTTTTTTTCCCTCCTTCCCCTTCTCCCCCTGTTTTCTCTCTTCCCCTTCTCCCATCCTCTCCTTCTTCACAGGATTCGGCTTTGTAACTTTCGAGAACGAGGATGTGGTGGAAAAGGTCTGCGAGATTCATTTTCACGAAATCAATAATAAAATGGTGAGTTGGTTTCACCTCTTTGCAATTTTTCATTTCAGGGGCCAGGATTAATATTTGATCCTGGAAGCAGAATGGGTGCTTATAATGGGCAGTGTACAGTAAGGGTTACAGGGTTGCTGGGTGCGTGCGCACATGGGTGGGTGGGGGTAGGGCGGGGTGTCATCCCTATCCCCGACCAGCCTGCTTTCAAGGGGATGAGAAGTCACTGGGGTGCACCAGCCACAAACCATGAAATTGTGTCTTGGAACCCTGTCTGCCTGGCTGGGAGTAAAGGCCTGTCTCTTTCCCACCGTCACAATTCCCTCAGCCAGGGAAGACTGGGAAAGGATCTGGCAGTCACTCTGGGGGCTTGTTAAAAGTGTGTGGTGCAAAAGATTGAAAGAAGATTTAAAAATCAAAGCCTGGGTGCTTCTTCCATGTTGGCACCTGATGCCCTGTCCCATGATTTTCTGTTTGCTGCTACGGTTCGTATTAGATTTCCCCTTGTCTTGCCAAGCTTTTGAGAATGAAAGACAGCAGAGGGACACGGTTCCTGACCTTGAGGCATCTGCAGGCGAGCCACAGATGCAGCTTGCAGTGCTCGCGACGAATCACCAAATGAGGACAAACCCCAGTGTCATTCTACATGACAGCCAGTTAGCAGGATTTTTAATGAAGGTCAGCGCTGTCAGTAAAGTTCAATTACTTAAACTTACAAATCACAGAGAACCATGAGCCTCTTAGAGTTTTCCATGAGATCGAGCTGAGGACTGATTTGTGGCATTGATGACCAGTGTTGGGGAGTTAACCAGCTAAATTTAACTACATTGATTCTTTAGCATGACAGTAGCTCAGCTGTGTTTTTCATTCAGATGATTCAGATGAAATTAACTGGTTCCTACACAGAAGTCCCTGCATTTTTGATATTTCATTTATTCAGTATTGATTCTCGAATCAATTTGATTCTGATTCGAAAGCCATTTGATTATGATTTATTTAGGTACATTTCAGTTGTGTTTCCCTTTTGCTTTTCTTGAAAGAAGAGTAGTGTTCAAAAACGATTAATTTAAAGAACAGACTCATAAGACTCATTTGTTTTGGGGAACCAGGCTACACTGGTTATGTTTTTGTTTTTAAATAGGGTGTTTCTTGTACATGTTGATGCTCAAGTTTATTGGTGTGCCCCTGTTTTGTGCAGATTGTATTGCAAAATAGCTTGTCTACTGTTTAAACTTAGTTTAATTAGTTTCAAAGTAGCTTCTCAAACCCTGCTGATGACATAATGTACGGTATCCCAGTATTTTATTCTTAACATGACAACACAGTGTGACCAGCCTCTTCCGTCTCTTCAATGATTTTTATATGATATTGCATCAATTGTTCTCATTATTCAACAAGCATCTAGAGAAAGCCTGAATTTCTTTTCTTTTTTTTAACACGTTTCCCCCAGCGTCTCATAGCAGGAACCTCGCTGTTGATCGACTGGCTGGTTAAATTGGGCCATTGGAGAATTACTTGCATAGCTAATATCAGTCAGGAAGGTTTAAGAAAAAGAAAAATGTGGCGAAGGGAAAACATTTACTTAAAATGACAGCTTTGTCATGGTCTCTCAGTTCAGATCATTTCTCAGATGATACGCTGGGAACGGAAGGCTTAAAAAAACAAAACAAGAAAAAGGTCAAGGCGTGTTGGCCAGAAACGCGTCCTTCCTTTTGCTCTTCTTACTGATTTCAATTGCCATCATCAAGTTGCTTTTGCCAACAAGATCAAAGTGGTCTCTGAAGCCTCGTCTGCTAGCAGGCCTGTGTGCATATTTGACTTGCTAATTCGACCATGGTAATATTGTTATTATCATGAATATTTTGTACAGCGGCCATAATGATCTCCCTCTGCTTGTGGAAATGCCAGCTTTGTACGTCGACTGCCTGCTTGGTGAGCCGCCATCTTCAGAGGCACCATCTGTGACCCTCGACCCCAGGCTTTTGGAGCAGAGAACAAGCCAGGCTCAGTAGCTGTTTATAGAGAGGCTCTGTTGACCCAGTAAGGCCACTCTCGAGCTGCCAGGGCCCTGGATATCCATAAATGACCCTAAATGGTTCCAGGATCTGGAAAGCTGGACCGGTGAACGTCTCTACAGACTCCAGGCTTCCTGATCAGCTCATGTGATATCTGGCCTGGAAATATAGCCAGGCATTAAACATTCAGAAGACATTTCCTTGATCCACAGGCTTGGAGACAGGAACGCTGCATCCAGCAGGCAGGTTAGATCCCATGGATGGATGGAGATTACCTTGAAGTGAACTCTCTTTAGAGATTCATTTGAAATGTAAGTCCACTTTAAAGGTAAATCATTTAGGGAGCAAACACATATTATGTCTTTATTTTATTAATGAAAACAATTAAACGATAGCACAGCACGACTAGTTCCAGATTGCACAGATATGGAAGGGGGTCATTATTAATAGACCGACCCTAATGGTGGTTTTGACTATTTTCCATCCCTTTCAAATTCGAACAGCACATTCAGAGCCATAATATCCCGAAAATTCTGTATTTTATCAGGCATTCCAGGGACTTTTATCTCCCCCAGTGCTGTCTGTCATGAGGAATACTGTGTGAAATGGATAAGTGGTTGAAATCACCTGGACTGTCTTCTATAGAGCATAGTTTCATGAACATAGTTTCCACCGCAGTAAGTTAGAGGATTTTATGCGTCATTCCTGTTATGTTGCACCTTTTCAACTTCAAACATCACTGAATTGATATATTGTGATACAAAATTATTAATATGAATTTGTTATATGCATATTTTTATAGATGGAAATCATATATTTTAATAATTCTAAATTGTTTTTTTTATATGCATTTGTACTATTTTTATATAATTATTTTATATTAGAATTTTTTTGCCATATCTTTATAAAATGTTATAGATAATAGTTTATATTACATATTATCCTATCATCAGGATATTATTTATAACCGGTAACAGGATATTATTTATATTTTGATATTTATATATATTTTTATAATATCATCATATACAGTATATTACTGGTCAAAAGTATATCTAGGCCTACATATAATTTAATTGAAGATATAAAAGTACATAGTGGGAATGACCCTTACTATGCAAAATGTTAACAGTTTAAGTACAGTATGTTAATTAAAGCTGTCCCAATAAAAACATTAAAACTAAAAATAAATACTCAATCTCACTAATCATCAAGTGGGATGTTGGACCATTGTGACCCATAGCTAAGTGAGGGAGAATTCAATAGCAGGCTAAATTTAGGTACCATCCCAGGAAGTGTTATTTATAGACTGGTGGCTGTTTGAAACCATGGAAGTATTGACTGTATCCTGACCCCATGTAAACCCTCTCTCTGGGAGTTCTCATGGACATATGACTGCACATGGTATCTACCTCTCTCTCTCTCTCTCTCTCTCTCTCTCTCTCTCTCTCTCTCTCTCTCTCTCTCTCTCTCTCTCTCTGTCTCTCTCTCTCTCTCTCTCTGGGAAATCATCACCTCTCCAACCTTGGAACAGTATGGACTGCATAAGTCATCTCTCGTCACATCATATTCAGGAACACATCCTTTCCTTTATCCGCCTGTTATTAAGCGATCAAGTACTTGGTCAATACCCTCCTCGCCCCTAACGCGTAAAGAGCAATGCCGCACCATACCCATGCGTGCCTGCAGCAGAATGATGTGAATTCTGTGCTCATGTCCTCCCTGGCCGTGCCCTTGCCTCCTGCAGGCAGTGTGGAGGTTGTCGCTCTCATTTTGGTTTCCGCTCCCGCCCTTCTGTCTCAGTGTGCCCCGGCCGCCCAGCCAGGATTGCCGCCTGCCCACAGCGAGCCGGGCCATTAGCATGTATGATAAGTGCCGAGTGTGTCGGCAGGCCAATTTAGTGTCTGCCTTGCCTCGCTGAGGCCCCGGCCTGCGCTATCATTGGCAGATAATCTACCGCTGTGAGGAGAGAAGAGGGAAAAAGTGTCAGTTCTAGAAGGGAGAAAATGAGGGGGGCTGTAGGGTGCAGGCTTGCGGCTCTCTGAATCTATCTTCAAGATGTGGTGCAAACAGCGATGACAGTGCAGAGTTAGTGTGCTTTCATGCCTGCTTCATTTAGCAGGCGCACACCGAAACTGAGTCTGGTTAAATATTTGAATTCGGATTAGCTGAGAAATGTTGCATTTAAAAATATTACTCAAAGCACGAGTAATTTTTTAGCTTAGCTGGAGTGTTTTTTGCCTACAGCTGCACGATATTGGAAACCAATGACATTGTGATATTTTGTTTTTCTGCTATATATATATATATATTGCGATATGAAAACAATTTCACCTGGTGATTTGAATAGCTCTATTTGTAAAGATTTAATCATTCCAGCATGATTGGGGTGATTTTGAAGTGTAGTGCATCTGCATAGAAAATAATAAACAAATTACAAGCATAGATGAATACAATAGAACAAAGACACAGATGAAATAAGCAGTGCTTTGTGTTTTTCAGGTAAATTAACTGTATTCAGGTACAGACATTGAATAATCAAATGTAAAATAACACTGCATAATCTTCACTGTATAAATATGATTCATATAATTAATAGAGTTTATCTTTGCTTAAGCTACAAAAGTGATTTTCTTTTTTGTTGTTTGATTATCTGTGGTGACACAAACAGCTGCGGGTGTATTGGGCTGCTGCCACTTTAAGACGAATACACATAGGCCTATCCAATGCCGGTAATGACAAGCATCCGTTTTCTTTCTCTGTTTACAACTCATAACCGACTGCGTTTACTAGGAAACTCGTAGAGGGTATTTTGACTTAATTGTCCGTACACATCTCCATTCAAGCACAAATAAAAAAAGAAGGGAATTTGGTGTTCACAAACTTCGCATGCTGTCTGCTTGGATCTGTGTGCGCACACAAATCACAGCGCAAGTTCCAGTCTTCTTGCACTTGATGTTTAAACTGACATGACTTTAAAATGCAAATGATAAACTCACTCTATGA